TTTTTTTCTTTTTTCTTTTTTCTTTCTCCTTCCCCTTTCCCTTTCTCTTTCTCTTCCCCTTTCTCTTCTCTTTCCCCTTGGAACCTAGCAAGCCTGGGTTCTTTCGAACCCACCCAGGCGCTAGGTTCGCATCGAACCCAACATGCCTGGATTTGGTCGAACCCAGCACGCTTGGGTTTGGTTCCTTGTGAACCCAGGCGTAGCGTGTTGGGTTCGCGTCTGGGTTCCTACAAACCCAGCACGCTTGGGTTCCTTGCAAACCCAGGTGCAAAAAAAAAAAAAAAAAATTCTGTTTTTGTTTTTTGGATTTTGTTGTTTGATTGTGATGAAAAATTGATTGATGAAGATGAAGAAGGCAAGGCAAGGTAGTTGTTGGGTTACTGCAGGTATTGGGTTCAATGCTGGGTTCGATTTTTCAATTTTGAATGTTAGGTTTTTGCAAGTGCTGGGTTCGTTTGTAGGTGCTGGGTTCGAAATTGAACCCAGTAGGCAGTGGGTTTGAGCAGCCACTGAGTTTCTGTAAGTGAGGCTCTGGGTTTCGTTTCGAACCCAATAGCCGTTGAGTCAAATATCTATTGAGTTTAATTTGTTGATTTGTTGTGTTATCCTCGAATTTAATATTAGGAATTAGGGTTTGCAGAAGGTTAAAGGAAAGGGAGAGGAAGAAGAAAGGGAAAAAGGAAAAACAAACGAAGAAAAAAAAAAGGAATAAGAAATTTGTTAAGATTTTTTTCTTGCCATCTCATTTTTTTGTCATAATGTACATCCTAGGTGTCAAAATGTTTTTACATGTCATCGTTTTCCCCATCAAGTAACGGGACACGTAGGTTGACATTTGACGGAAGGACCAAATCGAAGTAAAAATGGTAAACAGTAGGGATCAAATCAAGGATTTTTTTAGTTCAGGGACCAAATCGGGGGTCCGTACAATAGCTCAGGGACCAAAAAGGGGTTTTAACGTTAATTTTATAATAATTTTTTAATAAAAAATTTTTAATTAATTTAAATATTAAGAAATTATTAATAAAATTAAGTATTTTTTATTTTAAATTTGTCTTAAATTAATTGTCACATTTTTTATTTTTAAGGTATATTTTTTTTCCTATGTCATTATCATTATCTATTTATTTTAATTAATCATCTAATTATTAAAACTCTTTTCTTATCTTTTATTTTTTTTAAGTGTATTGTCGATAAATATAAAAATTGTTCTTAAATACTTAATTTAGAGAAAAAGCAAAAAACAATAGTTATTTTGGTATAGAGAAAATATGATAAATTCATTAATAAATACACTTATATATTTTCTAATAAATGAGTTATCTTACATATTTTATTTTTTATCAACCAAATGTATTTTTTCCTTTAACTAAATATGTATTTTAATTTGTTAGACTCTTTTGCCATCTTTTTGGCTTATAAAACCAATAATTTTTTTGCCAAGTCACAAGCTTCAAAGAAAGCAAGCGAGAAGCGACCTTGTCTGGGATGAAATGAAGATCAATTTCGATGAACATAAGCTGATGTTTAATGAAATTTTTATAGATAGAAAGCAATAATATTAACATAATGAGTTTTTTAATTTTTGTCTTTAAAATATAAATTAAAAGGATAACTCATTTTTTAAGAATTGATTTACATTTTTTTAATGGCAAAACCTCTTTAAATAAAATATTTTTTTAATTTGTGTCTGTAAGTATAGATTAAAAATATATTAAATATATATTTTTTATTATAAATGTACATAAAAATATAAATAATGATATTTTTTTAATAAAATTTTGGAAGAAATTTTCTACACCCAAAAGGAGTGGTAGTGATTCATATATATTAAAAAATATATGTTTATTTTTATATGTATTTTTATAAAGATATTATTACTTTTATTCACTCAACTCAATTAATTTAATTTAATTTAATTTAAATTTCCTAGTTAAATTTCTTTTTTTAGATTGAATAAATTAATTACTATCTGTATAGCAATATTATTATGTATTATAAATGTATATATAAATACATATCCTATTTAATGCATAGGGTAATATTTTAATTGT